TTAAGTCTATAATAAATATTAGTGTAATAAAACATAAATCCGGTGGATTTCGCATGTTTTTTATTGCTTTTCCGTGCCAAGGTTATTAAGTAGGATAGGTATTCTATCGGAATCTGCAATAAAATCTAAATTATTGCAAAAACTCGATGTTTAACACCTTACTAAATACATATATCTCAACATAAGTTTTGGAAAACAAATTACAATAAATTGGTGATTCTCACAAAATAAACTATCTCGTCATAAAGAAAAATATTTTAAAAATACTTCTTCAAAAACCCCCATTTTCTTGAACCAAATATTTTTTATAGAGAATTAAACAAGGATTACGATGGTATAATTTTAAATCCCTAATTTACTGGTCTTCACTATGCAAATCAACTTCAAAAAGTTCAACTGTTATTAGCTAAGTCAGCTTTAGGACAATCTATTTATTATTATATTATTATTTATCTATTATATTTGAACAATTTTAACCTTAAAGCGTATATTTTGGCGAAAAGGTACCGAAATTATTACTGCTTTCATTGTAACTCGAAAAAATTCATAATTTTTTTTTAATAACTTTGGGAAGTTTTCAAAGAGAATGTCCATATAAGAGTCAATGGATGTTGGCAGCAAATACATCATAACGGTCAAGTTTCAAGAGTTTACCATGAATAAATATATGGCAGCATGCAGAACATCTATCGCAGCTTTTTTTGTAATTTTGGAAATTTTAGGATTTTTTTAATTTCAATAATTCCCGGGATACCGACCTTTTTTAGGTCCCAAACATCCTGCGATTTTTGGCAAATAATCCCGGAATTTTCGCGATTTGTAATTTGCTCTGATGGCAATAATAGAAACTCCTTTTCTTGACCAGTATTGGCTATATTTCTTTTTTTTATTCAATCATTAATAGTTTTTTCTTAAATGCCGAGCTCATTATACATATAACACCGTACGATAGTAAATTTTACACACAAAAAACAAAGTCGGTAAAAATGATTAAAAAAATTCATTGAAATGTACTTAGTGAAGAAGTATGGGTATCAAATTAAAGAAGGAAATTCTGTAGAATTTAATCAGATTCAATTTTTTCTATAAATATCCTTTTAAAATTTATCCTTGAAATTTTGCAATAATTGTTTTTTAAAAACTTTATGTTAAGGACTTATACAAACTCGATAACATCCTCGAATTTCGTCCTTCTAGCTTTATCAGCTAAAAAATTACATATTCGTCCTTGTGAATCCAAAAAATTTTATTTTTTTTTAATTGTAAAGAAATTTCCTCTTTCAGTTGGTACCTATAATTTTACTCTAAAAAAATTACCCGAAAAATTCAATGGGGCGACCAATAAAAAATCATTAGTATTAAAAAATGGTTAAATAAACAATCGGGTATTATTATTGAAAGTCTCCTGAAGAGAACCAGAGTTTTCCGATCGAAAAATATTGATTTTCAAGATTTCTATACAATTTCTACGAAAAGTTGTTTTTTCCCCATATAAAAATACATGGAAAACTTTGAGCGCTTTGAGCGACCTCTAAATATTTGTTGGTATCAAAATAAAAAATAGGGGCATACTTTTTTCGATATAGAACAATCTTAGGAGGTGAGAGCATTACATTTCCGACTTTACTGTTTTTCGGCCACCCTAATATACATATACTTAATAAAAAAAGCGCCGCATTCTGGGGTATTTTTTTCCAACTGCTTAAAACGGACTTCAATACCCACGCGGGCTTTAATCGTGTGCAGAAGACTGGCCGGAAAATAAAAGTGAAACGGAGCCAAGGGTCAAAAGCAACGTCTTCAACATGGTGATTGGATCGTTCACTAGGCTTAAGCAGGCGGCATACGCATCTGCCTCACTACAGCCTTGGAGGCCATGCTTGACCTGAAGCCACCGCATATAGTCATAAAACATACCGCAAAGAAGGACCTCTCAAACTTCACGAGAGATAGCACAAGTATTGGTTGAGTGATCTCAAAAAGATTCGATGCGGGAATCAAAACAAAAGTTATCATATCCCAGTTTAAAAGAGAAGACATGGACAAGGCGACAGCCTTTAAGAAAATATTCAAAACCAAACTAGACAGCAAAGCGACCTGGATCCGGAGAATTCTATAACAAATTTTTGAAGCCTGCACCTAAAGATATTTTGCACAAATGATTCTAAAACCGATGAAGGTATAGCTAAATAGAAGTAAATGGCCCTAAGCCCTTTTAGTCTCCTTCGCCATCTGTCATCTTCCGGCTGACGAAAATCTGAAAGTTAAAGCGATAGTGGCGTGGCACTAATGGGGTTTTCGTTTCTACCAAAAAATTTCGCCTTTTGATTGCCCCTTTCTCTTTTCGTGTTCGATTCTAAAATAGAGGCAAGCAAATGTCACACTCTTGTATGGCAAAAGAGGCACATTTTCTGCCCTTTGAAGCTTTGTCAGGCGATATGGTTGCCCTGAAAATCAGATGGTTGCTCAAAACGGCAATATTAGGAAATACGTGAGCTATAGACAAGGACAAGAAGGCATGGGTCTCGGACAACATATACAAACAGGATAGCGTGGAGTTTGATAGCATAGCAGGGTAAGCAGCAGCTGCCCCGTCAATAAGACCAGAAACCTCCCTTGCCATGAAACCCCTATGCTGACAGGGAAGAGATAAGAGCTGAGTATTGAAATAACTTATAGAAAATTACTGCTCTACACGAAAACTTTTATCCAATTAATTGATAATGGTTACCGTCTTGAAAGAGTTTTTCAAACATCTCCACGATCAGGATGAGAACATAATTTAATGTAATGTAAATTTTATGAATGCAACAGAAACAAGGGGCACCGCGATCTAGAAGATATTTCGTATGCCTATGATGGTTCCTAACCGTGACGGCCCAGGATGTTATCAGCGTCCCAAATAAAAGTTAAAAGTTTCTTGGTGGGCGAATTTCTAACCTTAAGGGCAACGACTGTGGAAGAACTGAGGTATTGCAATCTTAGTCTGGCTAATGCTGGACAATCACACAAAATGGCCATCATGCATAAAAAACGAGCTTAAGCTCTGAATCGATTTTCAGTACAAATTCTTAAGCTTGAGCTCACTTCATCACTGCAAAAACTGAGACTGAGACTGTGGTTAGGCTCACTTTTTATGTTTGAGCCCCAATGTGCTTCGTCGTATCCTTGTCTTCATGGCAAAGACGGCAATCCGTCTGTGAAAAAACCAATCCGGTGCATGGTGATAGGTAATACCGTGTTCCTTGCTGCCAAGAGTTGGATACTGTCAAAGCACTTCTTGACGAGCCTGGCGATGATCGTCCTATTGGATAGGGACCTAATGGTCCCCTGGCAATCCGAAAAGATAACTAGAAAGGCACCGTTTTAAACCCTTCTCAAGGTTCAGTTTGACACAAATTGGGATTGCTAGTACCTAGGCCTGAAATGGACCAAATACCCATTGCAATAGAAAGTTTGGTGCCAGATCCAAAGACACCCGTTCCTACTCTGCCCTCCATCTTTGATCCGCCTGTATAATAGTGTACTTGTCTGGGATCTAGTTCAGGTAAACCATTTGACTAGACCTATCGGTCTGGAATTTTGACCTGTGACTTCCTTCCAAAGCAGATTTCCTTTGCCAGGTGGATATATGTAAATATGAAGTTTTAATATAAGTTGAAAATCTAAAACTTTAGGAAGAGTGTATAGAAATTTAATCATCGACCCACTGTGCTAAACAAAAGTTGCTGCTTACAACATTGGGTTAGGAGGAGACTGAAATGCAACAATAACAAGGACCATAAAAGCAAAATCTTGGCAAAATATCCATAAATAAAAGTGTTTCTTAGCGGCCCAAGGGAAAATTGTAACAGCATCGTTGGAGCGTGCTATCGCAACAAGGAAATATTTAGCTGCACAGCTCAGCTTGTTGCCCTTGTTGTAGCTTGCCATCACATTACATAACATGTTTATGAGACATTTTGGACATTCCCTTAAGATAACCGACAGAAAGTGGCGGTCAAAAAGTTCACAAAATACAGTAAACAAAATCCCCACTCATTTCTTTAACATTTTACAATAACTGTATCTTGTATACATAGCGATTGTTTTTGTTGCTAATGTGACTGCTACAGCATACATGCAACATAGACTTTGCATTTCGCATGTCAACTTGCTACTCATTTTCTATTTGTTTTTTTTTTTGTTTTTTTTTTATTTAGGAAATTTGGAAATGAAATTTTATTCACCAGCACATGGCAAGCGTTTACTGTCCCTGCCATGTTATGTAGTAACATATGCTTGGTTAATCTTGTTCGAATTATTTGAAGGAAATTAATTGTATACAAAATCGGAGAAAATATTTTGCTAACTTACCTGATATGGTATCACTGGACCCGGTCGAACTAACCGACGTATGACCATCGGGACTTTGCGATTCACGTGGACTAATCGGTGTGGGTGGTGTCAGTGTTGGTGATGCTGCCACTGGCGCGACGCCAATGCCTTCGAAATTACCGTTAGCGTTGCTATTGTGCCAACTGGTGCCGCGGACACTGTGATCAGTTGCCGCTCCTACGAAATTACTGCCAACTGTCACTGTTGTTGTTGTACTGCTAATGGCCGAATTACTGCAAGATGCTGATATTGTACTTTCATCAATTTCCTCTTTCAATTGGAAATCGAAGTATGACACCGACGTTGTGCTGCTGGGAAGCGCAATTCTGAAACAAAGACATAGTCGAGTTTAGACAAATCTTAAAATTGGGAGCTAGTGAACTTATTCATTAATCAATCGAAGTTGCATTGAAGGGTAGCTGGCGGTGTTTTTTT